GAGCCCCGCGGCGGAGGCGTGCGGCTGCGAAGCGCGGTTTAGCCGTGTTTCTGCGCCGCCTCAGGGAGACTGCGGAAACAAACCAGCTTTTTTGTTTTGTTTTGTTTTCCCCTCAGAGGCAGCGCACGAGGGCAGAGGTCGTTTTGGTAGTGAGTTAGTGTGTCGCGGGCTCCATCCGTAGAGTTACCGGACTGGGAGGGGGGTGGAGGTGACGGAGATGGATGTTATAAAGTGACGCTTTGAATAGCGTTATAGAGCAAAATGCTTTATAAGGCGCTTCCCGTGAAATGCACGATCGTTAGGGTCGAGTAATGGGAACTAAGTCAGTTAAAATGGTTGTTGTGAACCACTTGAGCTCGAGCGCGGTATTTCATCGCAATAGCCCTGTCATCGTTTCTGAAGTTTCCCCGGAGCGACGTCCCGCTGCCCGGCGCAGCGCTGCGCTCTCCGCGGCCGGGTCCCGAGCGGCGCCTGCAGCTTGGACGGAGGAGCAGCCCCAAGGCCGTGAGGCTCCTGCGGACTCGTGTGGCACCTGTGGAAAAGCCACAAAAGAGGTAAGGGGAGCCCCTGGGCCGCTGCAGCGGCCCTTCTCGGTGCAGCGCCGACAGTAACGCGGAGTACTGAGTTCAACACCAACGCGTCCTGGAGATACGATACGATAAGCAGCAGTGCCTGTCGTGCTTGTAAAGCCCTGTTTGGTCTGGAGTTCTCGCAGCATGTTAAACCACGCGAAACTATATCTGAAAACATTAGTTTCCCTGTATCACAATGTACTTCATGGTCATGTGACTTTTGTGGCTCGCTGGAGTTTTTCCCCTCATGGTTCTGTTAAACACGACTTTTCAGAAGACGCTTTTATTATAGTGTGCGAAGGACTGCTGCAGAATTGTTGTTCATGTGTCTCAGGATGTCTAGATCAAAACTGGGGTAAACATTGAGATTAGACTTAATTATATCATATCTTCGTGTTTTCAGGATATGTTTACATTTGTTCATTCTTACTATAAAACATATTAGGAGTATCTAATTGTTTGCATTTGGATATTTAGTTTTAGAAACGGAAACACTTCTATGTCCTTTGGTTAAATTTGCTACATGATATTCATGCAAACATAGCAAGAAAAGTATGTGGGATATAGAGAATATAACAAATGGATGGTAGTAACAAACTTCTGTATCTCTGCTTTTGTCTGTTAGGATGTGCTCAATATAGAGTATCAAGCGCGTTATGCAAATTCTTGTTTCCATGAAAAAATAGTTAATCTCTCCCTTGTATAGGAGCTTCCTGATAGAAACTAGTAGTTGTTCAGGGTTGTCAATGGAGGGAGAGTAAGGTTCCATAAAAAGTGAAATTCTTCCAAGAAACTCTTTGAAAACAAAAATGAAGTTGTTGTTACTAGAAAATTATTCACTAGCCGCTAGCTTAGAAGAGCAAGTTTGTTAAATCAGTCTTTAAAATTTTGGACCCAGCTTTTGGAATGCTTTCAAGCTCTCCTACCACTCTTTTCTAGTTTTCCTGTTGTGTGCACGTTTTTCCTTTGTATTTTCTGTGTCTAGATAATCTTTGCAATGGTGTGGAATGGAGACCAGAAAAAAAGAGAGAACAAATTATTTGCGGATCAGGATTTTGAACTTGTATAATCTCCTTGATTTTGTTTTTTTTTTGGTGCTTGCCCATGGTTAAAAGGGCATTCAGAGGGTCCCATGTTTCAGCTTAAGTCTTATAGGCTTGGAGGACTGTCAAGACTGCAGAGCCTTTTGAGGTTTCAGAAGTGCACTTGGCCAATCCCTTCTGAGGCTTGAACCAGCAAAACGTGCAGGTGCTTCTCCAAGGAGTCTTTCAAAATTTGCAGGATAGGTAGTATATGGTTTTCTGTGGCGTAGGTGGGAAGGATCAAAGCCTACCTAGCCAGGAGTGTGATTAAAATAACAAGTCACAAATCGGTGGTGGGCATTTGTTATCTTGAAGCGTTTCATTTTAATAACGTAATAGAAAGTAGAGTTCCAGGAAACCCAGGGTTACAAGGAATTTAAAAGAAAGCTTAATGTTTTTAGCACTTTATCTGCTTTTTGTACAAATATTCCTCACTGGAGGACATGAGCAAGTCATGAAAATATAGCACAAGAAAGCATCTCAAGAGCCTTTACCTAGTTTTCCCCCTTACACACATTCAGAGGCGAAATACATGGACTTGAACTGTTCCCGATTGACGTTTGTTTAAGCTCTTCTTCGTGTACCAGTTTGATAACTGAATTTCTGTACTTTCCCCTGTTCACCTGCACCACTCAGTGCTTCTTCCTTTTGTATGAAAACATCTTCACTGAAAAATGAATTGCTTCTTGTGAGATTTTCAGTGACTGTAGAGAATGTGATTCCTGTATCTGTACAACTATATGGGTATTTCCCAAACTGTGATACAGGTGTTGCTGTGCAGACACAGAACTCGGATCTTTTTGATCTGTGTGGGAATGCAACTATGCAAAGTGTTGATGGAAATGCTGACAACATTGCTTATGTGTACTGTCAGGTCGCTAAGCACACTAAATCTGTCACGTTAGAAGCATAGGCAAACTTATAGTTCAGTGAGTTTTTCTGGTGTTGGAGACCGTTCACGTGTTGTGTCACTTGGTGAGGATGGCCTGGTATTCTGGAGCATGTTTTGATATATCTGTTGCTGAACTCCATCAGTAGTTTCTAAAATGGTATAGTTGCTTCTTCTGTGGTCTTGCCATCTATTTCTGGGGCTAACACAGAAATAAATCTGGGAAATGTCGAGTTAAATGGCACCTGCGCTCGTAATGGGTGATCCCCTCTTGAATGAAAGTTTTCAGTGCTCTTGAACTGTGTTATGGCTTTATTTCTGAGCTCTGGCTTCCCAGCAGTAATGGATAGTTGTCTGTAGATCCCAGACATTTCTGGGACCTATCTCTACTGTTTGCAGCAAATGAGGCAGGAGCACAGACTGGACATGACTGGTCTGGTACCAGGGGAGGATAATGGGGAAATCATTGAACAAATATTGGTGAAAGCGTTGCTGTTTCTCACTTACTTCTAGCCTGTGGTGAAAGAGGGGCTGATGTAGTGTGTGAAACGTGGAATGATCAATGGCGGTTTGAAAGCTTAAAGATGTGTAAAACAATCTTCACTGAAACCTGGGCCACCCCTCACCTTGTACTTTTTGAGGCAGTTAATCAACGTGGAAGCGCTGCTGCTGCGGAGCAGGGGGGTGGCGTGTCAGTTGTCGTTTAGAAGCCAGCGATGCTCGACTCCCAGGGGTTTGCAGCAGTTGCTCCGTTCAGTCTCAGCAGATCCCTAGCTGGAACTGATGTTAGAGTGATATGTTTGGCTCTTAAGGAGAGCGCGTTCAGTTGTGGATAGTCTGGCTGAATGTGTGTTGCCCAGATGTTTGAAATCTTAGAGCTGAGCAGAAACATTCTTAATAGATTTGCACTGGAACACATCCGTTTCCTTTTGCCTTGCTCTTCACCCTCAGTACCTGGCAATAGAGCCTGCCCTTTTCTGCGCTCTTTGTACTTGAATACAAATGACTTTGCTGCCAGGAACCGTTCAACTGCTGTTCAAAGTGTATTATAGAAGGACTGTGGCCACAGGTCATTTTTGGGAGGGGTCAATGCCGATATCTAGTTTCCCCCCAGAATTCTGCTGCTTTTCAGTCCCTGAGACAGAAATGGTGGGGCTCTTCCAGGTAACAGGGAGCAGCAGGGTGTGGCAACAGAGCTGTGAAAAATTGAGCTGGCTGGCTGGGTGGCATCACTTCTGCTTGTGAAGATGGAGGACCTTATCATGAAGGAAACCCTTCTAGATCCAGTTCTCATCCTTCCAGAAGCTACAGTTGCTTCTGTGAAGCAATGCATGATTCTTTGTTTTTACTTTTGAATTTTTTGTAAGCTGTTTCTGTTCAGTCCAGCTTTGTAGGATTTGCTAGAGGTTTCCTTGGGATTCTCGACAGTAAGCCAGTAGCCATGGCTTGTTTAGACAGGTCTGACAGGCAGCATCACTCCCATCATTTAACCTCAGAGGCCTTTCCCCAAATAAGAATGAAATTTTCATTAAAGAGCAAAAGAAAAACAACTACTTCCACCCATATTCCCTGGGAGGTGCTACAGTCCCTGTCTTCTTGCTTACTTCCTCAGCATGCACGTCACTGTGGCTAGCCTAGTACCTTTTCCTTTATAACACTGAGTATTCCCTGGCCTCCAGGAGAGCATGAGAGAGAGCTTGCCACCAGGAGCTATGGCCTACTTGGTCATCTGCATTGCTTTTCTTTGAGGGAGATTAGCAAGGTGACCTTTGTTAAAGAGCAGAAATGTTTAATTGGCTGTATGTGTCAGTGAAGTCCTGGAGCTACAGATTTGCACCCCTCAACATAGCGTATTCCAGCTGTTTAGAGTCGGGGAAGGGCTTAACCTTGGTCCCAGAAGAACTTGAGTGGTATGTGGGGGGAGGGAGGGGTTCCTTGTACATTAACTTTAGGGCCTTTGCCCTGATCTAGGGCTTTCCTGTAGTCATATGCTTTTCATCTGCTCTAGAAGGTGATGACAATTGGTATTGTTCCAGGATTTCCTAGAGCCCATTTGCTGAACTGAATTCTTGCTTTAAGTGGGTAAGAGACTCAGGACTTTCTGTTGGGACCATTTTAAAGGGAATCAAAGTACTTTGGAGAATCTCCAGCAGGCGACTTCTGGTCAGAGATAGTCAGAGCGGCTGTTCTGAGGGCTGATCCAGCGTAGACTTGAGAGCTGCTGGAGTACATCTCACGGCACGCGGAGACAAATCTTGTCCTTAAGGTGTCCAGCAGAGAAACTGAGAGCATCAGGAAAAAAAGCAGCAACAGCTGGACGTATTGGCCCCATAGATCTGAAGTAGCTGGCCTTTCCTCCTCCTCCTTCCCAGCTAGGACTGGAAAAAAAAAATGGTGAAAGGCATTGGAGAGCCACTTGAGAATCAATTGAACAAGTGATTCCAGATGCAGTAGAAACAACAGTAGTTCTGTTTTGAGCTTGAATTAGGTCGTGTCAGATTTGGCGTGTGAGGGACAAATGGTAGTTCCATTGCCTTTTCAGAGCGCTCATTTCCAGTCACTGTTCAGGCTCAAGTGTGTTACTGTCTTATCAGTCAACGTCTACAACCAGTTTATCATGAATCAGCAGAAAATGCTTACATACAGGTTCTCATCTGAGCAAAGATATTCACGCTCATGTAGTTAAATCTAGGCAGTTATCAGCAATTACCTGTAACTGGACAGAGCCAGATTTTTCTTGGAGGTGCACAGTAAAAGGATAAGATGCAACAGTTGCCGATGGCAACATGGGAAATTCTGGTTAAAGGAAAAAACCTTCACAGTGAGAGCTGTTAAGCACTGGAACAGGTGACTGCAGAGGATGTGAAATCTTTGTCCTCTGAATTTTTCAGAACTTGGCTGGGCAAAAAAGTTCTGAGCAAAACTTGATTTTACTTTGAAGTTGGTCCCGCTTTGAGTAGGGGGCTGGACTAGATAACCTCCGGTGGATCCCTTCCAACCTAGTTTTTTGT